ATTTTTTTGTCTCATTGATGTTCGTTGCTTCATATCTTTTCATGCACTTTGGAAAAAAGTTAGAGAGTAGAGGAAGGCAGAAGTGCTGAATACAGGATGTTAACTTAAATATAGAAAAAACCTTTCTAGGCGATTAGTAGTGGATGTCTTGGGTGTTATCTATTTTTCATCAGGGCGTGCATTACCCAGAATTGAAATCGCGTGTTCTGAACAAAAATGATGCCCACGTTATATCCTTCCAATTTTTGATATAAAAGAAGACAGGAGGATGAGGGCAATATCGCCTCTTGTTTCAGCTTCGCCTTTTCCAGGCCAAACTTTTTCTCGGGGCATTTACTCTGGAAAAGTCGGATTTTTGTGGGGTAGCCCACCCACTCTATTTGGAGTCATTTTTTATTCCCTCTCTCACTGGATCGAGTCGATTATTCAACATGAGCTTTTTATGGAGCAAGAGGGCAAGTAAACAGATGTCTGCGGTTTTTACTGGAAGTTCTATGCACGTAATTTATTTGTATAGTTGTATTTATTTTCTCCAAGGCTTCATTAACTGATCAATAGGAGGGAAAGCTGAGCACACGCAGCCTACCTCAACGTAATACAATCAATGTACTCAAAGTACAGGGAAGAGAGTACTCATCGTCATTAAATCTAATATTATATTCAAGCAAAAAAAGGAAGGAAGGCGGTATATCGAGAATTCTCGGAAATGATCGGAAACAACTTACAAGTGTTTACCATCTAAGATTCACTCTCTCTTAGAGTGTAATTGTTTTGGACGTGCAAGGTTAGGAGCTTAGGGAATTCCAAATAGAATTACAGGCATGGGTCAGGTGGCGCCACTAGGTCGCGGTCAGCGAGCCGTCGCGCGCGAAGACCGTGACCTAGTGGCGCTACCTGTCCAGTGCCGAGCCGTCACTAGGTCTTCACACGCGACGGCCTCGTTTGGTCAGAACAAAGTCCTCTCAGTCAGCTTTGCCTCTATTTCCTTTCCCATATACTGCTGTTTTGCTTATCTTTCTATATTTTAAAACGGTGAATCTACGTGTCTTTCTGTATGCCGGTTTGTCGTCCGTCCGCAGAAGGTCACGTAGGCACGATGAGGATTGCAAGATGTCACGTGGGCGCATTTTGGCATGGGTTAGGGGCATGCTACGATATAGGATGTCTATTGATACTATATTGATCTCCCTAACCTATATGGATCACCTGGTGATGTGTAGCGTGTGCACCCGAAGTGGTTTATATCTAAAAGATAGGCAAACAGGGTGAGGAAAACACCAAAATGCAAAAAAAAGTATTTGAGTTGGGCATGTGTTTGACCTAGGGATATTATCCCCTTGGTTGGTGGCAAAATGACATCGTTGTGAGGAAAATCTTGATCCTTTTTTGAGGGTTATCAAGAGGGATACACCTGCGAACATGTCGGTGTGTTCGCTTGTTTGCAGTCTGGCATGGGAACGGGCTCTAAATTGTCTCTTGACAGAATATTTCGAGTAGCAAGCACCCGATGCTTCTTTTCGTACTCTCCATCTCGACTGGTACTCCATGGTTGTGAAGGACAGCGCACTGAGAATGAAGAACTGAGACCTTTCAAGGGAAGGAGTTCATCGCAGAACTTGGTCAGCGATGTTTGCTGTCTCCTATGAGCTCCAGAACCTTTGAGGATCAAATTCATCGTGAACATGCAAATAGCCTAAATTATACGAATGGCGAGCTGCGAAATGTTACACACCAGATTTTTTCGCTTTGCCCATGGGCGAATAATGAATGATTCCGAAAATGAATTTGATATCGGGGATCCGTCACGTAGGCGATATTGATTGACCACGTGTTCGATCCCGCTCAATGTATTTCCACCTTTGGGACATACTGGTATTGAAGTTCCGCGTTCCTCTCATTGACTAATCTCTTGTGAACGTTGCTCTCAGTTCCCACATCGCTCGCGACATGTCATTATCATCGCCGAATGGGAGTTGAGCGCGTGGTCGGTCGATCTTCGGTCGGGGCAGCTATGCCGTCCTTTCCAATGGATTCCTCCGACCAGTGCGAACTATGGAAACATACGCACGTAGCAGTCATATCACGTGGTCGCTGGAACATTCGGCACGCATCTGGGCAGTGCGAGGACGAGGGCTAACACTAAGGGGGGGTGGGGCATAAACTTCTCTTCTCATAGTGAGGCTGTAAAAGCAAAAGAAAGTTACTTGAAAGTAATCTCCATGTACAGCATCAGATGAATTTCGACATAACTACTGTATTATGACGTTGTTTTCTTGAACTCACTACGTGGTTTGTATGCAGTTATCGGGGCAATAATGCCCGACAGTAACTCGGGAGTTGAGACTTTATATAGGCACAGAAGAAAAACTCCAGCTGACTTTGGTCGCTTGTCGCTACCGCTTGCTGGGTGGTTTCGAAAATGCCACGAAACTACCAGTGAATGATCTTCTTCAGATTACGTGCATGTCTTAACGGTCTCGAGTCTCAGTGGGCTTTGGAGAAGTTCAGTCGGGTAGTCATAAATTGCTATGATCCTCTAAGGTTCTGAAGAAAATGATTCCACCAAGGCGTCAATCAGTAAAATTATATACAAATCTCATGAAGAGTTCAGGAAACAACTCCATAATTACTTAAAAGTGCTCTAGTACCATAGGAGAATATGAAAAAATGTTCTCATTTTCAATTAGGCTTTAACATCGCCAATGGCTGAGTTCCTGGCGCATCCTATTGGCTTCTTTTTGGATAGTGTAAGAGATTGTAGAAAAATGCTTCGCATGCTATTTTTCGTCGGTTTGGATTATTTCCAGGTAGTCTTTGAATAATCTCAGGCCAATATGAGTGTGAATACGCTTTAAGTGAATATACAGCTGACTTGATCAGGTAATACCTGATTCTGCAGCACTCGCAGTTTGCAAATGACCTTTCTGATGACTTTCCAAGCGATTCAGTGACGAAATTGCTTTCTCTCTAGTAGGCGGTCTACCAATTCCTTTGTTTTTCGGGGTTTATCCTTTGTCCTCCTTACCTACCGACAGGAAGCATTTTCCGTTCCTGGGGCGAAAGCCTTTGCTTTTGTGGTGGTTTTCATACGAATCTTTTCTGAAAGTCCATTCGCTTATTTTGAGTTCTTGTGTACCATAGTGTTCACGACATTCCGTTCTTCAGTGATATATTAGGTTGAGTAAAAAGTTTTGATCGACTCTTCGTCCCTTTTTAGATTTTTTCGTAGGACCGCTCGGAAGGACTTCGTAATAGGTTATAATAGACCGATCCCTAACCTGTATTTTTAGGGGGAATATAAACATTCCCTTGTAAGAGCTTCGCAAAAATGATTTCCACTTTCAACTGCTGCCATTTTTCCTTGGCTGATCAAGTGGTACCAGGCTGTTCGAAAGGGTAAACACACTGAATTGCATATCGGCTGTTCATTGCAAGCCATTGTATAGGCCCCGGCCGCTACGATTCACGAACGAAGTCAAATGCGGGGTGCATCCCCAAAAAGGGATTCATTGCCGCCAATGATTTAATTTCATATTTCTTATTCGAGGTATTACAATCTGAATGTCTTACCCATCAGAATTTGTTATAAAATAAGCAAAAGAAATCATCAGTTTCAACTGTTATTATTTCTAAATATTTGTTTATTTATTCAAGAATTTGTCTTTGAAGTAGTTGGTAATCGTTGGTAATTGTTATAGAATGCGACGGTGTACTACAATCCTGCATATATGGCTCGTGTTTATGGACAACTCGGATTGAATTACGACCTTGATGCCGGTAGACCATTCATCTATTGTGAGGTTCGTCACTGTACAGTTAGGAATTGTGAATTCCTGACTCGAGATTTTGCCTTGCTAACTATATACTGTTTTCTTTATCACCCTGAACCGTCTCAGTGTATCCAATCATTGGAAAGACTCAGAACGTGTGCTCTGAAAAGGTAGCCAACTTGAGTTTGTTGTTTACTTATTAGAGGTCTGTGCTATAATTACCAATCAGCCTGATTCATCAAATCTTATGCTAGCTCCTAGTAAAATATATTGAGAGACGGAAGTGTTTTTGGTCAGGGCAGGAGATTTCTAGAAGGTAACAAATGAATCCCATTCTAGAAATTCGATCCCAAATCATGTGCACCCAATGATCCCCAGTGCCCTGTACTGGAGAAGTGCTATGCGGAACCAGAAAATCGGGCTCAACGACTCGGCTGTATGACCGTATTCAAATATGTCACAGAAAAGGTGAGTTTCATTCGTTTTTGTTTCCAGCTATACTTGACTTCCAGCTGTAGTTTCTATGCGGCCAACTATGCCCTTTTACAATGCGGTTTTTGAGAAATACCCTTTTTCCATTGGAAACGAAAATAGTGGCTGACTGCAGAATTTTCGTGGAAATTTTTAATGGGCACATCTCTCATCGTATGTCACATTTCCATGAACAGCCTACCATTTTCATTATTTGAGCCACTTTTTACAATATGGCGATTCAATCGAACCGTGGGGATTGAAAAGGTTGCGAATTTTTCGTCGCCCCCTTTGTATGAACGCTTTGACTGGTTTAGTTATTACCCAATAGCACGTAAACATTCATTGGGAACAATGTTCGGAGTTTCACTGTGTGAACCCGTAAACAACAACATCAGAGTAGCGAAATAGCAAATCAGAGAATCAGCGAAAGTCGTGAATGCGTGTCCACTCTCGTATCCCCACAAGAGATCGGTCGAACAGTACTCCCACCGAAGGCTTTTTCCCCCACGACGGGATTTGGATTGTTGTCGATTGTTGACGATTCAGGGGAATACATTTGTTTACAACATATTTGTTTACTAGATAGTGACATTTTCAGAATGCGAGTATGGAAGAGCGAAAGATCGAGGTGACTTTGAAAGGCTGCTGGCAACATGACAAAGAAGTAATCGCAGATTGTAAAGTGCAAGACGAGGTGAGTAGTAGACAGTTCTGCCCCTTCCTTATCCACCACGTGAATTTACCACGTTGACAAGGGAGGGAATAGAGTAGCAGAATCGCTGCTAATTTTGGGTCCCCACTGAAGTGTCACTAATAAGTGGAAGTATCTCGTTCTCACGTTCCCACTCAGGCCTNGGTGTTGTTCGGCAGGTTTTGGGTAAGCTGTCCTAGAAGGGAAGCACGTGGTCCCTATGTCAAGATTAGGTGATTTGTAAGCAGAATACGGGTTACTTTCGAGGATTTAGCCAAATACAGTTAACGTCCATGGATCGGAGAATTGCCATTGCAAAAGAAAATGCATTTCAGTGTGTAGCGGAGAGCGGTAGACGACGACCCAAGCCAAACATGGAGTTTTGCTGCTGCCGAACACATTTGTGCAACAAGAAAGTGTCCATCCGGGTAGTGGACGAGGCGCCACCTGATGACAGTGGTGTTGCTGATGGTAACGGTTAGGACCTAGTCTTTTTGCTCAGTGATTTTCCTCTGAGCTCTAGTTACTTCCTTTTCCGCTCATTTGCTTTCTGTCTTTTTTCTACACTTTTACTTTCTCCCTCTATGTCTTTTTTTCCCTGATCGTTTTTATGTCTGCTTCCCAGTTGACTCGAATTAGAATTACTGTCATCGTACTCTTCTTCTTCTAGTTCATAAGCGTTCGTCCCGCTCAGAAGGGGAGCCGCTATTCTATCTGTTGACATCACTTCTCCCGATTTAATGCTTAATCGGGATGGAGGCCAATTTTAAGTCCTCATGCAAGGTATCAGACAGGCGCTGCTTTGGAGTAACGTGGGCTGTTTCCTGGGCACGTCCAGAATGAGGCCCATCTTACATACACTATTTTGTTCGCGCATAGGACATGACTGCACCATCGAAGCGAGCCTCTCGCATTTCATCAGCAATGTGGAGACTTACTGTTAGCGAAGTATCAACTACAATTTCCAAAGCATGCCAATAAGCGGTCCTGATTCTCACGGCGCTGGTGCTTCAAAACTTTTTGAAAGCATAGGAGTCTTGTTTTTTTTTTGATGCGCTGTTGTGCGCTATCAGCTTGTAGCTTAATCTTTCTCTTAAAACAGTATGTAGGCAAAATCTAAGTTTTAGTTTTTCTTCATTATTTCTATCGATAGACATAGTCTCATTGACCTTCCATTGCATGAAAAACTAATCTATTTATCAATGAGATTGTAAAAAGGCAGTATTGTGCGATACGGAACCTTCTGGGACCACAATAGTTGCGACATCCAAAAAAGTTGCTTTTACCAGCTAACCTGATGCTATCAGGCAACATTGAAATGGCAATTCAGCGGGTTTTTTCTGGCACTATTTCCGGTGGGTTCATCACGATGTCTCAAATTGGTCCTGGGCTAAAATATTCTATCCGTAGATCCTTGTGAAACTTGTGCTGATGGATTTTCTTCCAATCCCTCATTCCTTTCATAGTTTCTCACCCTTCTCTGGTGATGGTCTATTAAACGGAAATATTCTTGTATTTTGGTCCTGCTGGACCCTTCACTTACCGCCATGACTTTCAGCAACCGCAACGGGTGGAGCGATGTCACGATGGATGAACAACATGTGGTTTGTGATGTTGTTCGGTCTCATCGCTATATGTATAGCTGGTGGATTGCTGGTCTTCTCCCTGGTATATCGCTTGTGTTGGCAGAATCGCGACAAGGTTAAGACTCAGGTGAGCAGAGAATACCCAAAACAGCTGATGTCTATCCCCACAGGAATCTAGTCTCTCAAGTAATCCCGTTGTTAGGAAATGTTCCTCTTTATCTCCATTAGTTTGTAGCGCGTAGACGAAAAAAACCTATTGCTTTTGTGGCCTACATATTCGATGACTTACAAGGGGTCAGCCGATTAGCATGGTTTCACTCCTTTCAAAGGTTCTATCCCCCCAAGGTGTACTAGCTATTATTCGACTCTAGAGTGATAGAAGGCTTGGCAGACTGATCGTTATACGGTCATCATATCATGCCTCTGCACCACTTGGTACTACGACACCACCAATTTCCAACCTAAAATTAATACAATAACCACCCACATGGCCTGGTAAACTGTTTTTCTTCAGACTGTCACAACTTCCCAGCAAAGTGAGACTTATGCTCTTCTGAACTGTGCAGCCAATCGTCCTACTTTCGAAATCACCGATTTGAAGGTGAGTTTTAATTCTCATTTATGTCTCGATTTTTCCCCCATTTTCTGAATCCTTACAAGTTTTGTAAGCAAAAAATGAAAAAATCTACTAGGTTGTTCTTACCGACAAATAATTCAATGTTTTTTGAATGCGATCTTTTATGAAAGCTATTTTGACACTCGCAAAAATCAACTAAATTTACTGGGGAAATTTATAACATTCTGTAGAGACACTAATAACAATGGGAAGCACCCTGGCGGGATAAAAAAGCATTGTTTTTAAACAGTATATTTATTCAAGGTTAACTTTTAGCATGTAGCCAGCGGTCGTTTCGGCGACGTATTCAGTGCCGTTTATCGAAGTGGCGATCGTGTTGTAGATGTTGCTGTGAAGGTATTGAAAGATGAAGAAAGTTGGCATGCAGAGCAGGTAAGGCCCTCATTCTCATGATTGAGTACTGTAAGGGTGAAGCAGTGGGAGAAAACTTCAAACACCATAATTACATGCATGGCCGAAGGTTGGGACTCCCACAGTTTTAGAACTAGTGTGATCGGCGATCTTGCTTTTCCGTAGTCAACAATTTTTTATTGGGTTCATTTGGGCGAATCATTAAGGGGATGGCACCCATTAATGAAAATTGAACCCGAATCCCTAATGGCCCAACCTGAGTCATGCTCCCTATTTTTTTTTACCCAAACTCATACCGATAGGCCCCTTGTTATAGTTCCTTGCTGAGTGTCCATGCCTTAGCTTGTCCTCTTGAATTAATCATTTAACATAGAACAGTGGTTTTTGTCTTTGCAGAATGAATACGCCCTAGGTCCTCTAGAAGACGTACACAGCATACCTCTTGGGTGCACTAGAAACTTATTACTTCGATTTTAAAATAATATGTTAATGCGGCTTGATGTCTGTGGTGATCCAGACCATGTGAAAATGTAAAAACTGCAGTAGAAAATGTTCTGGGAGTACCACATAGGTCACATTGCCATAGCCTAAGTTCTGACTGAATGCCTTAGCAGTATGAAATATGTTAGTGTTTAGACTATCTACATTGATGTGCTACGTCGAGCCGGTCATCCGAACATCTTACGCTATGTGGACGTGGAACGGCGAAAAAATGAATATTGGTTGATTACGGAATTCATGAAGGAAGGCAATTTACATGACTATCTCAAAGTAGGTTCCTTTTCTAACATAAGTGTTCATATCTCGTAGACTCAGTCAGCGATGGAACCGCTTTGGACAGGTAAAAGAAGGGGCACCTCAATTATTAGATTCTTCTGGAGTGATTTCTCAAATGATCATTTTCGCTTACCGCTTGTTAGATAGTGGTGGTAGGTTAGTGCACTAAAAAGTATTTTGCATTGCATTGGTGAAGAAACAGCAAGCTCAGGCGAACGAGAGTGACGTTGTTCCACTATTCTTCCTTACTAGAAGTCATTAGAAGCGCAAGCACATGGTAGCAACGCAGTGTACTTTTCTCCTGGGACACGTCATCTCTATCCTGACAGGAAATGACTGTCGTTAAGCGATTGTTGAGGGGTGTTGATTCTTTTTATGCTACCCGAAATGCTCGATAGTTTACCTGTTTACCTTCAATATTCTGGCCTATAAGAAAAGAAAAATGTTTTTGGAAGTTATTTACGCCAGTTGAGACTAAATCCTTGTGGTGTTCCTTTCCTCGCTCAGGGTGTTCTCCTTTGATGCCTTTTATCGAACCCTCATTTCTATTCCAATTATGTTAATGCGACTTCTCTATAATTGGCTGTACGGGGAGGCTCCTTGTTGAAGTAATACGACGTTGTAGATATGAAAAGAATGAGTCATATTCCTCGTAGTTATACTACTGGTAATTAGATGAGTGAGGCTATTTCTCTGTCGTCGTTTTCCCGAACTTCGTAACTTATTCAGAAGACTTGGTTACGTCAAAGCCCATGGTTGTCAGGGGTTTTCTCATGGCAATGGTCAATTTTATCTGCATGAACCAATCAATCGTACTCGCTCGAAGCTTGTAGCTTTTGTGAAGAAATCTGATAACGGTCTCAATGGTTGCTCTGGTATTTGTGTGACTTTCCAAGCCGTAAGCCTTTGGTCTTATGGTCATAGCGGTCCCCAAGCTAAACTGTATGGACATACTTCTGAATGCAAATCGTCCTCCTTCTCCACATGAGATGATCAGTGGTTTTGGGACATTTCACCGAGAAATTTCCACTAAGCCGGCGAGTTTGATGGAGACCAGCGAGTGTTATAAACATAGATATACCTTTTTCCTGTGCTTCTCTTCCTCTTTGTCTACCACTATCTGATACTTGGCCGACTTTGACCTTTAATCCTATGTCGTAGTCAATCTCTTATGCCACCTCTTCTTCAGTAGCTAGTGAAATGGGTCTTCTCGTTCGTGGTCGGTTGGAGTTCTTTAGGTTTAGCCGATAAAATGGATAAAGTAATAAAGCAGCAACTTTAAATAAAGAGGAATCACATTCACCTTTGGAACCTTTCAGAATAACGTCTTAACAATGAAGCAGTGTTTGCGTATAATGTCAGGAATGCTTGAAGGACTGGCTTTTCTGCATGAAGCTCAGGGCAGCAAGTTTACAGTCGTTCACCGGTGGGGTCATTTTTTTGCGTTTTATAATTTGTCATGATTTCACTAGGCTGTTGATTACCATTCTTCCCTGTGAAAGTCCTCTGAAGTGAAGAAAAAGATGAAATGCTCCTTTTTAGTGACATCAAATCGAAGAACATCCTCCTGACATCGGTGGAGAGCGCTAATGGCAAGGAACTCGCGTTGACAGCTTGCATTGCGGATTTCGGTCTGGCTGCTGTGTTCAGTAGCCCTCAGATTGATGATCAAGTAACCGGACAGGTACTGTAGAATACTTGATGGCCTCTTTTGACGGGGGGGGGGGGGGGGGGGGGGGGGGGGGGGGGG